GAGGAGCTGCTGCTACCAGTGGCTGGGATGGAGGAGTTGCTGCTACCAGTGGTTGATGGTGGAGCTGCTGTTACCAGTGGTTGGAGGGTGGAGCTGCTGCTACCGTAGGTTGATGCAGTGAGCTGCTACCAGTGGTTGATGGAGGAGCTGCTGCTACCAGTGGCTGATGGTGAGCCAGCAACAGGTGGTTGACGAAAGAGTCGCTGCTACTAGTGGTTACGGATGAGCTGCTGCTACCAGTGGTTGATGGTGGAGCTGCTTGTTACGAGGTGAAAGCTGATAGGTGGAGCTGGGCGGCACAGTGGTTGATGGCGGAGCTGCTGCTACCAGTGGTTGATGGAGGAGCCGTTGCTACCAGTGGTTGAGGAAGATGGATGAGCTGCTGCTACCAGTGGTTGATGGAGGAGCTGCGCGCACTAGTGCCGATGGTGAGCTGCTGTTACCAGTGGTTGATGGTGGAGCTGCTGCTACCAGTGGTTGATGGAGGAGCTGCTGCTAACACCAGTGGTTGATGGAGGAGCTGCTGCTACCAGTGGTTGATGGAGGAGCTGCTGCCAACAGTGGGTTAGATGATGGAGCTGCCACCAGTGGTTGACAGAGCTGCTGCTACCAGTGGTTGGATGGATGAGCTGCTGCTACCAGTGGCTGATGGAGGAGCCGCTGCTACCAGTGGTTGATGGAGGAGCTGCTGCTACCAGGTGAAGGCGGAGGAGCTGTTGCTACCACCGGTTGGATGGTGGAGCTGCTGTTACCAGGTGGAAGCTGATGGTGGAGCTGCTGCCAATGATGGTTGATGTGATGAGCTGCTGCTACCAGTGGTTGATGGAGCTGGCTACCAGTGCGTGGTTGATGGAGTGGAGCTGCCACCAGTGGTTGATGGAGGATTGCTACCAGTGGTTGAGCGAAAGAGTTGCCGTCACAGGTTGATGGAAGGAGCTGCTGCTACCACAGTGGCTGATGGAGGAGCTTGCCGTTACCATTCGGTTGATGGAGTGAGCTGCTGCTACCAGTGGTTGATGGAGGAGCCGCTACCAGTGGTTGATGGAGTGAGCTGCTGCCACCAGTGGTTGATGGAGGAGCCGCTGTTACCGGTGGTTGATGGAGTGAGCTGCTGCTACCAGTGGCTGATGGAGGAGCTGCTGCTACCAGTGGCTGATGGAGAGCTGCTGCTACCACTGGTTGATGATGAGCCGTCAGTGGTTGATGGTGGAGCTGCTGCTACCGTGGTTGGGATGGATGAGCCGCTGCTACCAGTGGTTGATGCAGGAGCTGCTGCTACCAGTGGTTGATGGAGGAGCTGCTGTTACCAGGTTGATGGAGGAGCTGCTGCTACCAGTGGTTGATGGGCGGAGCTGCTGCTACCAGTGATTGATGGAGCGAGCCGCTGCTACCAGTGGTTGATGGTGAGCTGCTGCCAACAGCGGTTGATGGAGTGGAGCTGCTGCTCAGTGGTTAACATGGAGGAGCCGCTGCTACCAGTGGCTGATGGAGGAGCTGCTGCTACCAGTGGTTGATGGATGAGCCGCTGCTACCAGTGAAAGTTGATGGTGGAGCTGCTGTTGCTTGGTGGTTGATGGTGGAGCTGCTGGGCACCACTGGTTGATGGTGAGCTGCTGCTACCAGTGGCTGATGGAGTGAGCTGCTGCTACCAGTGGTTGATGGAGGAGCCGCTGTTACCAGTGGTTGATGGAGGCTTGCCAAGGTTAGAGATGGCAATATGAGCTGGCGGTTACCAGTGGTTGAAGGTGGAAGCTGCGCAGCACACAGTGGTTGATGGTGGAGCTGCTGTCGCCTGGTTGATGTGGAGCTGCTGTTACCAGTGGTTGATGGAGGAGCTGCTGCTACCAGTGGTTGATGAGGAGCTACAGCACATAGGTTGATGGAGGAGCTTGCTGCTACCAGTGGTTGGCGAGAGCTGCTGCTACCAGTGGTTGATGAGGAGCTAAGCGCATCATCGAAGTTGATGGTGAGCTGTTGCTACCAGTGGCTGATGGATGAGCTGCTACCAGTGGTTGATGGAGGAGCCGCTGTTACAGGAAGCGATGGAGGAGCTGCTGCTACCGGCTGATGGAAAGGAGCTGCTGCTACCAGTGGTTGATGGAGTGAGCTGCTACCAGTGGTTGATGAGGAATGTCAGTAGTTGATGGAGCTTGCCGCTACCAGTGGCTGATGGTGAGCTGCTGCTACCAGTGGTTGATGGAGGAGCTGTTGCTACCAGGCTGATGGTGAGCTGCTGCCAGTGGTTGATGGAGTGAGCTGCTGCTACCAGTGGTTGATAAAGAAAGCCGTTGCTACCAGTGGCGATGGAGCTGCTGCTCAGTGGTTGATGGTGACAGCAGCATACCAGTGGCTGATGGTGGAGCTGCTGCCACCAGTGGTTGATGAAAGAGCCATGGCACCAGTGGTGGGACAGCAGCATTGAAAAAGTTGATGGAGTGAGCTGCTGCTACCAGTGGTTGATGATGAGCTGCTGCTACCAGTGGTTGATGGTGGAGCTGCTACCAGTGGTTGACATGGAGAGCTGCTGCTGCTACCAGGTTGATGGAGGCGAGCCATGCTACCAGTGGCTGGGATGGTGAGCTGTTGCTACCAGAAGCGATGGAGGAGCTGGCGCGTACCAGTGGTTACGAGTGAGTCGTGCTACCAGGTGCTGATGGAGCGGAGCTGCTGCTACCAGTGGCTGATGGAGCTGCTGCTACCACTGGTTGATGGAGCGAGCTGCTGCCACTAGTATTGATGGATAGATACTGCCACAGTAGTTGATGGAGTGAGCTGCTACCAGTGGTTGATGGAGGAGCTGCTGCCACTGGTTGATGGATATCGCTGCCACCAGTGGTTGATGGTGAGCTGCTGTTACCAGTGGTTGATGGAGGAGCTGCTGCCACCAGTGGTTGATGGTGAGCTGCTGTTACCAGTGGCTGATGACAGCCGCTGCTACCAGTGGTCATGGATGAGCCGCTGCTACCAGTGGTTGATGGAGAAGCCGCTGCTACCAGTGCTACGGTGAGCTGCTGCTACCAGTGGTTGATGGTGGAGCCGTTGCCGCCTGTGCGGTTGATGGTGGAGCTGCTACCAGGTGGTTGATGGCGGAGCTGCTGGGTTAACCAGAGTTATGAAGCGGAGGAGCCGCTGTTACCAGTGGTTGATGGTGGAGCTGCTGCTACCAGTGGTTGACAGGAGCTGCTGCTACCAGTGGTTGATGGAGGAGCTGCTGCTACCACTGGTTGGCTGGAGTGGAGCTGCTGCTACCGCCAGTGGTTGATGGTGCGGAGCTGCTGCTACCAGTGGCCGATGGAGAAGCGAAGTTGATGAGCTGCTGCTACAGAAGAGGGATGGAGGAGCCGTTGTTACCAGTGGTTGATGGATGAGCTGCTGCTACTCAGTGGTTGATGAAAGAGCCGCTGCTACCAGTGGTTGATGGAGAGCTGCTGCTACCAGTGGTTGATGGAGGAGCTGCTGCTACCACTCGGTTGGGATGGATGAGCCGCTGTTACCAGTGGTTGATGGAGGAGCTGCTGTTACCTGCGGTTGAAGATGGAGTGAGCCAAGGTTAACAGTGGTTGATGGAGGAGCTGCTGCTACCAGTGGCTGGGATGGAAAGAGCTGCTGCCACCAGTGGTTGGATGGAGCGAGCCAAGCGTTACCAGTGGCTGATGGAGGAGCTGCTACCAGTGGCTGATGGTGGAGCTGCTGCTACCAGTGGTTGATGCGGAGGAGCTGCCTGTGGTTGAGTGATGAGCCAAAGGCGGCCTGCAGGTTGATGGATGGCTGCTGCTACCAGTGGTTGATGGTGGAGCTGCTGTTACCAGTGGTTACGGTGAGCCGCTGGCGCCCAGTGGTTGATGGAGGATTGCTACCACTGGTTGATGGAGTTGTTGCTGTTACCAGGCGGTTGATGGAGAGCTGCTGCTACCAGTGGTTGATGGAGGAGCTGCTGTTACCAGTGGTTGATGGAGATGCTGCTACCGTGGTTGATGGAGGAGCCGCTGTTACCAGTGGTTGATGATGCGGAGCTGGGCGTCACCAGTGCGGGTTGATGGAGGAGCGCTGCTACCAGTGGTTGATGGAGGAGCCGCCGTTACCAGTGGTTGATGGATGAGCTGCTGCTACCAGTGGTTGATGGAGGAGCCGCTGTTACCAGTGGTTGATGAGGAGCTGCTGCTACCAGTGGTTGATGGAGGAGAGCCACGTTACCAGTGGTTGATGGAGGAGCTGTTGCTACCAGTGGTTGATGGAGAGCCATGCCAACAGGTGGTTGATGGAGGAGCTGCTGCTACCAGTGGTTGATGGAGGAGCTAAGGTAGTTGATGGTGGATGAGCCAAGGCTAACAGAAAGAAAGATGGATGAGCCCGCTACCAGTGGTTGATGGTGAGCCAAGCGCCACAGGTTGATGAAAGAGCTGCTGCTACTGTGGTTGATGGAGCTGCTGCTACCAGTGGTTGATGGAGGAGCCAGCAACAGGTTGATGGATAGAGCTGCTGCTACCAGTGGTTGTATGGGAGGAGCCAGGTTGCTGCACAGGTGTTGATGGTGAGCCGCTGCTACCAGTGGTTGATGGAAAAGAGCCGTTGCCACCAGGTTGATGGCGGAGCTGCTGCTACCAGTGGTTGATGGAGGAGCCGCTGCTACCAGGTTGATGGAGGAGCTGCTGCCACCAGTGGTTGCAGGATGAGCTGCTGCTACCAGTGTTGATATGGAGGAGCCATGCTGTTACCAGTGGCTGATGGATGAGCCGCTGCCACCAGTGGCTGATGATGAGCCGCTGCCACCAGTGGTTGATGCAGAGCTGCTGCCACCAGTGGTTTGCGGAGGAGCCGCTGCTACCAGCGGGCCGGATGGTGGAGCTGCTGTTACCAGTGGTTGATGATGAGCTGCTGCTGGCCAGTGGTTGATGGAGGAGCTGCTACCAGTGGTTGATGGAGGAGCTGCTGCTACCAGTGGTTGATGGAGTGAGCCAAGCGTTACCAGTGGTTGATGGTGGAGCCGCTGCTACCAGTGGTTGATGGAGGAGCTGCTGCTACCAGTGGCTGGCGGAAGAGCTGCTACCAGTGGTTGATGGATGAGCAGCAATTGTGGAAGATAGAGAGAGCTGCTGCTACCAGTGGTTGATGGATGAGCCGCTGCCACCAGTGGCTGATGGAGGAGCTGCTGCTACCAGTGGTTGATGGATGAGCCATGTCAAAAGGTTGATGGAGGTTGCTGCCACAGAGTTGATGGAGTGAGCCAGCTGCTACCAGTGCTGGCGGTGGAGCTACAAGCACAGGTTAAGGAGAGCCACACAACAGATTGAGGCGGAGGAGCTGCTGCTGCTAAACAGTGGCTGATGGAGGAGCTGCTGCTACCGCGGTTGATGGAGGAGCTGCTGCTACCAGTGGTTGATGGTGGAGCTGCTGCGCCCAGTGTGGTTGATGGAGGAGCTGCTGCTACCAGTGGTTGATGGATGAGCCAAGGCTACCAGTGGTTGATGGAGTGAGCTGCTACCAGTGGTTGATGGAGTGAGCTGCTGCTACCAGTGATTGATGGAGGAGCTGCTGCTACCAGTGATTGATGGAGGAGGAGGAGCTGCCAGCGGTTTATTGAGGAAGAAGTGGTAGTGGTGGTAGATATTGGTTATGGTGGTAGTGGTGAAAAGTGTTGGTAGGTGGTAGTGGTGGCAGAGGGAACACGCAGTCCGCCTCCACCCCCGCCAGTTTGTGTAATACGTGTGGAGCCTCGCGGTCATTTATCCACATTATTTTTTTCGACGTTAACTGGTACAGACTGTATATTTCTGAGTAGTTCCTTCACCAGTTAACAGTTGAATGTGTGTTTCTCTCTCCAGTTAACTTTTGAATCTGTCTCTCTCCTTCGCCTGTTAACAAGTGACTGTGTATTTGTCTTACCAGTTAACAAATGACTGTCTGTCAGTGGCCCAAGGTTAAAAATGCTTTGAAAACCTTGGATCATGATGTAGGATAGTTATTTAGTGGGTCCCTTATTTTTGACCTGACCTGACTAGTCACGTCGCCTCCCTTCACTTAAGCTCCTCTACGTGTGTGTTGGTGTTGGTGTGGGGATTATTGGATGACATCATTATGACCTGACCTAAGAAGAACATAAGAACATAAGAAAATAAGGAGTCTGCAATAGGCCGGTTGGCCTGTGCATGGCAGCTCCTGTCGAGAGTTACTACCACTCTCTATCATCCATGAATCTATCTAGCCTCCTTTTGAAACTTTCCAGAGTTCCCGCAGCATCTTACTACAAAGTTGCTAAGCTTGTCCACTCCGTCCACCAATCTATTTGTGAACCGCTGAAGTTTCTTCCTATCTCCTCCTAAACCTCCAAACTTATCCAACTGAATCCGTTGCTCCGAGTCCTATCCTGCTCGGATATTAGTGAAGAACTTTATCTATATCCCTTTATTGATTCCTTTCACCCAATTTAAATACTTTTATCATATCTCCTGCACTCTTCTTGTCTTTCTAGGGAATGCAAGTTAAGTTTCTTTTTTTAACTCATCCCTGTTGGCGGAAGGCCTCAAGTCCCGAATCATTTGTTATTCTTTCTTGCCACCGACTCTTAGTGAATTTATATCCATTCTATATTGGGCACCAGAACTGTCCGCATAATCGAGGTGCGGCCTGACTAGCGCAAAGATATAGTGCTGCATTAAGACCTCTGCACTCTTGTTACTTACACTTCTAGATATAAAACCCAACACTCTGTTTGCCTTTATTTCGAACATTAACGAACTGTTTTCTAGGCTGTAGGTCCGGCTTACAAGGCAATTTCTAGGTCTCTCTTTTCACAAGTCGACTTTCTCTAGGTTGATGTTGTTAAGGCTGTATACATTGACAGTATTTGTTCTTCCATTATTGGCACGTTGAAAATTCTGCCAGTTGAATTTTACTGGCCATTTTTCAGTAATTCAATCTCCCTGCAGTTTATTTAGATCCTCCTGTAATGCATTTGCATCCTGCCCTGAATTAATCTGCCGCCCTATTTTGGTGTCATCCGCAAACTTGCTTATGTCACTGCTGATCCCAGTATCTAGATCGTTTATGTAGATTATGGAGGACCCTGCAATTGTTTGTAAATGAGGCAGAAAGTCAGAACCTGGGACTTGGTCAAAATTTTCGTGATGCCATATGGCAGCAGGGTCTACCATTAGACAACACATTATGCTTCCAATATCTTCCCAGGCGGTAGTACCTCCCTGTTTGGTAGCTGCCTACTAATACATACATACATGCATACATACATACATACATACATACATACCGAAAATAATGTGAGATTTCCAACACACGAATACCTGGATCAATCCCTGTGTCAAGTGCTCTTAAATCCTCTCACGTGTGTGCGTGTGTGTGTACTTACGTGAATGAGTGTGTTTTGGTGGCAGTGGTGGGACAATCATTGGTGTGTGTTGGTGGCAGTGGTGTTGTTAGTGGCGGTGGTGGCAGGGGCGACCATCCTTGCCTTCCCCAGCGCCACTATATATTATGACGTCAGCCACCACACTTCATTCTTCCCTTTGTTAAATAATAAACTAAAAAATAAAATAATCCAC